GTTACGCGAAATGGTCATGTTAATATATAATGGGTCACAAATTGACAATATACGATTTACCTTTGTATCTTATAAATTATTTCCTGGCATAAAAATCACTCTCAAGTTGACCAGTACTTTTCTCATACAATGCAACAGACGTCATGACTCGAGGAGACCCGAACCCAAAGCCCATTGGATGGGCGACAAGAACCATAACAAATGATTACATGTATATGAGCCGTGTCACGACAAAACCAACGTAATGCGTTTGCGACCAGCATGGATCCAGATCAGCCTGCGCATCCGTGCAGTCTGATCAGGATCCATGCTGTTCGCTATCAATTTCTCTATTTGTTCTGGATCCATGCTGGTCGCAAACCCATTATGTTGGTTTTGTCGTGACACGGCTCATATTTCGCTGCTCCTAACTTTATTTCCCGTCTTTAACTATCTGTTTCAATGTAATTGCAAGATTTTTTGAATTCAGGGTATCAATGTTAATTACCTAATCACATCATAAAATATAGCTTGACATTTTTCTAACCTGAAACTTTGGAATATTTATTGTTAGTCGAAAACGTAAGGTTTGAGTTACTATGTTTTATAATTGCTTGAAACATCTACATACATCATTTTTAATATACGACAAAGACCATTCAAACTACTGTTGTCAAAGCGGGAAGATTTCATATCCCATTTATTTAAGAAAACATTTTTTTGGTTTTTAAAAAAGGTAGATGTAACTTGACACGACTTTTCGGAAGTTGACACTGTGTTTATCCTCCAAATATTTCAAATATTCAACATTCATGATACGCGTTGCTTGGTCGAGTATATAGTTAATATAGTAGTTACCATAATCGTTTGAAAATTTTGGCCTATAAAAAATAAGATGTTAAACAAAATGATATTAAAGTGTTAATTTTTAGAGTTTTAGATCCATTTTGAGATTGTTAGCCTGGTCAATTTTTAGGTTTTTGTTTACACCTTTCTAACAATAACTTCGCAATATAGTGTCACCTTCTCAACATGAGTAAGAGGCGGAGAATGACCGGTCGTATTGTACAGTTTAACGTCTAGGAAAGTTTTTGTCCGGCAGATGTGACATTTGTCACGACAAAACCAACATAGTGCGTTTGCGATCAGCATGGATCCAGACCAGCCTGCGCATCCGTGCAGTCTTATCAGGATCCATGCTGTTCGCTTTCAGTTTCTCTACTTGTAAAATAGTTGGTAAGCGAACAGCATGGATCCTGATCAGACTGCGCGGATGCGCAGGCTGGTCTGGATTCATTCTGGTCGCAAACGCACTATGTTGGTTTTGTCGTGACACGGCTCATTTCCATACACACGAGTATATAATCAAAGCACAGAAGGCGCTGAATTTGTTTGGGTCTCAGAATGTCAGAAAGGTGGAGGTTGTGAGATTATAAACTAATTTGTTTTTGTATAGTGCCACTAATGCTTTCCAGTGTTTTAACTGTAGTAAATTTGCTATAAGACTAATTGCAACACTGATAGTCAATTCAATGTATATTTGACTTAAAAAAAATAAAAAAATAAATTGAGTTGTCTCAACTGGGATTTGAACTTCAGACCTCTCGATTCATAAACAAGCATGCAAACCCCTCGGCCACGGTGAAATTATATGTTAAGGCCTGAAGGAAACCATATTATTCTAAATTAAGGCTTGTAACTCTTATTATTTCGACGCTAAACCTGTTGTTTAACACAGATGTAAATAATCATGGAGCTTACTGTAAGCATGTATATCTATAAAGAATGAAACAATATTAGAAATCTTCGACCATTCGGGAACTACTTTGCTTGAAAATTAATGCGCCTGTCATTTGACAATCTTTACGCATTTATCTCCCCTGAATTTTTCGGCGTTAGTGTACATATAAAGGGAAGTAACCGCTTCAAAAAAGTGGACTACTTTAGGCATTTGCAATTAACAGCATTAGGCTCTGAAATTTCGCTACCATTATTTGTTTGGTCTGACGACCCAAACAAATAAAAACTCAGTTGAGAAATTTTAGCCTATAAAAATGATAATGATCATAACTGTATGATTTATAGAAATTGAGCTGTAAACATATCGATTACATTCCAACGATAATATTTTCCAACTTTCTGTTAGGGTATGATAATTTGATGATAATCAGTTGGGGGTTGGGGCGGGTAATTGATAGTTTCATATGTACTGGTAGTCTAACTCTATTTATCTTTATAAGATCAAATTTGTAAACTTGATAAAATACAAAGCCCAAATTGACATGAAAAAAAATTTATATACAAATTAAAACCACTTATAATAATTATCAAACCAATGAAGCTAAGAAAAAATTTAGACATAAAGATTTAATGCTATTTCATATATTATCAAGAGAACATTTCTAAACACATATCCCGAAAATTACTGTAAGGAGTTTTATTGCGTTTTCTTTTATATGTAACTTGATAATGTTGTTTTTTTTTGTGTTTTTTTCTTTCTTTCTTTTTTTTTTCTTTTTTTTTTTTTGGGGGGGGGGGGGGGTGTAGATGTAAGGACTAACTTATGTATGTAAAACGTTTCCATATTTAAGGTAGGTAGTATGTATCATCTAAAAAGCATGCGCAACGAGCGAATGACGTCAGTTGGGTGTGTACTACCGATATACAATACTTAATGGATAGTTCATAAAGAGAAAAAAAAATTATTATAAACTATTTGAACGAGAAATGAAAAAAGAATATATAGAATGATTTATGCGTTAGTTATAATTAAATAATTTTTGACGCTGTACGAAATAAAATGACATCACTGTTTTGTAATGACGTACATCGAACTTAACGTGTTTCAGACTGGATTGGTCTTTAAGGCCCAATATACAAGTAATAGAAACGAGGCTATCTGATTTGTACGAGGGGCATTCTCTGGAGTGCTGCACTCCAGTTAACGCACTGTGCATGAACGAGTATATGTATACTATTTAACTCTGACCACATTTTCAACAGAAAGGCACCCAAACTATGATACAAGTAATATATAAATCTCATATGATCGATTCTACACGCCAAATTGTCCAAATTCTTAATATTATATCACTGCTCATTTCATGAACGTGTCCAAAATCATAAGGGCGAAACCCTATCGCCCTAGATCATTCCAAGACCTAAATGGCTCATAGGTTTACAATAGGCTGAGCCTTCTTTAACATTAGGACTTACTAGCAATATGTCACCTTTTGTATACAAATGGTATGATATCAAAACAGGTTTCTGTCTTTTAATGACTTGTGCTATAAATGTAAGTAATTCTAGGAAATATTCTTGACCAAAATATCGTAATCAGATTTGAAAAATTTCCTTGCGTTGAAATGATGAATAAGACTTGTCCATATTTATTTTTATAAACTGTATCTTTACATTTATATATATGTTTAATGTATTGTCATCATAAATTTTACATTATAATTATTAGTATTTATAACGTATTCAAGTGGTTAATATTAATTAATAGTGACATTATGCCCATTCAAGGGTATAAATGAGTGCACAAGTGTATGTCAAAATAAGGTTTCATGTTGCCATAATTCCTTTTTAATATAAAAATTCATTTTACATTAACAATAAACAACGCATGGATTCAAACGAAATTTTCGTAAATATCCATTAGAATTTACTTGTAACGTCCATTTCATAAAAAGAGAGGGGCAGTCTTTTTATATTTCAGGACAGATTTAAATTTTATCCTAAACATTTTCCAATATGAACTGTTGGTCAATCACCATTTTAACAGTCAATACTTTTAAATATATAGTCAGTTCAGCTCAACTTGACTATGAAAATTTGAGCATAATGTCACTTTAATAATTTCAAGATGTAATAAAAAATATAGAAGTATTTTCGTAAATATATATACTAGTATATCAGGTTGTCAACTAAAATATCATGAAAATTTCAGGCATCAATAAACATGTAAGACATGTACACAGTCAGCGTTCATTTTTTTCATTATCATCAAGAACAAAAAGAATCTCATGACTTCCCCCTCAGCAATTAAAGAACTAGAACTGGGCACTGGATTCTTGAAGAGAACATTTGCCTGCATCAAAACTCTAACTTCAATCCCAGAGTTCCAGCATTTCGAAAAACTCAATTATCCATGGTAACTGATTAATTGTTTTTAAGTTTTCTCACAAATAATTATAAGTTGAAAAATCCATGCAATTCTTCAACTACAATAGTTATGTTCGTTACATGCAGGTCATTTTCCCTGTCTCCATAATCTTTTAAAAAATACAAATTAATATGCAGTATCGTTTATTTGTAATATGGCGATTGTGAATTTTACTCTGATACTAGGCTATCAGCTTAAATTACACCTGTCACCAGTAACACTTGTTTGCTAAGCAATCATATTTTTCATAAGATTTACACTATGTTAAGGTTCGAAACATTCCCTGAAAAACCATCATTACAATACATCATTCATTTTCAACAATATCGGCATGGTGTATGCAAAGCCTTTTCTGATAAAAATATTTAAAATTTGATATATACATGTATATGAATTTATAAACACTTGAAACTGTCCTTCAGCACATGTAAACAGCAGGTAAAATCTTTTTTATATCCTCATTCATTCTTGCTTTCTTTCTTTCTTCACAGTAAAAAGGAATATCCAATAACATATTATATAACAAACAACCAACTAATAGGTAAATCTTGATTTAAGTTTCTTCGTCTGCATGCATGAACAAATCCAATCTCCATCATAAAAGTGGTTTTATGTGTCCCCAAGGCTGAAGAGAAGCTGTTATGATCTGTACTATAATTTATGGAACACTGAACACGCTCACTTTAATATTGCAAATAACTTACATATATGAACACATCTCTCTCCTTTATAGACATATTGATCATCTACATGTACAAAAATGATAGCACTTTGGATAAATGAACGAGGCTCGCTCTGTATTTATTAGTACGGTTTACATCTGTGATTACATTAATGATACGACTTACGTATGTCAACGCCTCGAGCTTCTTAATCGATTATTTCTACCGCCTTCGTCCGAGGAGCCTGATGAACTACTACTGTATCGAGGGTTAGATTTTGTTGTCGGCCTGTCGTACAGCATTGCTGAATGTAGGTCGTATGCTGTCGGGTAATTATAACCATGATGCTCTCGTGATATTCTATTATCAGCATGCATTCTGCGTGAGAAAGCTCTCTCGTTCAGGTGCATCTCCCTCGGAGACCCAGCTTGTTGGAAGAACTCTATATTCGGGGGTGGTGGGGGAGGGTAATCATACATGTCACGTCTAGACATGCGTGTTGCTGCTATGTCACTTTTTGGACGTCCGATTCCCTCCCACTTAGGTTGATAAGTGCCCTTTTTAGGAGCGCGTATTTCTGAATTATACCGGCCGATCGGAGAAGCCGAACGTGCACGGGATCGAACTACCATCGGAGGCTGGGAAATAAATCTCGGCGGCGGAGGTGGAGGAGCAATCACTCTCTTGGTGTACATTCTCTGTGGTTGTCGGACCATCATTGGTTGTGGCGGTGGAGGGGATCTGATAAGTACCGGCCTTTGCATCATGACTGGTTGTGGTGGTGGTGGAGCGATGTGTCGTATTGCGTAATTTGGGCGAGGAGGTGGACCATTCATATACATTGGTCTAAATACTGGTACTGGGGCGGGAACCGGAGCTTCAATATATGTTGGTCTGATATGCTCCTCACTACGTCGTGTTTGACGAACATTGTGTGTGACCTCCATATTGCCATCACCTTTCGGTTTAAGGTTGCTTTTATCGAAAGTTATATAGATAGTTTCTGGTTCCGGAACCGATTCTCTCGATTGTTGTATCTGGTAATGCCTTGATTCCAAATTACTTTCATTAGTATCAATGCGGACAGTTTCAATGTCCGGCTGTCTGTATGACTGTGGCTCGTAATTTACTGTAGAACCATGCTCACCATCACTGTAACCATTGGCAATTCCCGATTTTACAACGATGACGTCATTTCCGTGTGTTGATGTTTCAACCCTTTGACCATGTTGTTTTCGAAAAGCCATGTTAGCTGTAGCTGAAGCATTAACGAGATGTAGTGCATCCCTGGTTGAGTTGCAGATAAACATGTGACATTCTGCTATTTGTCTTCCTTTTGTACGTCGAATGATAGCGGCAAAGATGGCAGGGTGGCTAGACTCTTGTTGTATATTATTAACAGGGACAAACTTTCGTACTTGTTGCCCTGTGCTGCCATCAATAACGTTTACAGCGCGAACACCTGCGCATATACTTAACTTCTCTAATGGGAACTGGACAACCTCGCCGGAGGAGACATAACGCATTTCAAGAGCTGTAGGAAGTACACATAATGTAGCGTCAACACCCGACACTTCCTCGAGATTCTGAGGATACCGTTGTCTTAACGGTTCCTGAACGGCGTCTAATCCTTTCAAAGTTTCTACAGGGGGAGCACTACCAATATATAGAACACGGCATTCATACATTGTTGGTTCTTGTCCTAAAACTACCATCTTCTAAAAGTATCGGGGTTAGACCAAAATCTTTAATCTTAAATCCAGGTGTTACAATAACAATCCAGTTCCGACTACCACATAACAATACTGCATTCAAGATCAGTCGGCGGTGAAATTTGAACTACCTCTTGGCTTAAAACGTTAAACCGAAATCCTGCAGTTTATTTCTGCACTACACTGTTGCATTAATCCATTCAATGGAATCAAAGTTTAAAAAATCCGATGAAAGTTTATATGTTAACTTGTAATTTTAACTTTGCTAAACATTCTCATGATATAACCGGTTTAAAATGTAACTTATTTTACACGCAGCGGGCCACAGCCCATCAGATACTTTCATCTAACTAAACACTCCCAATATCCATAAATGATCGCTTCACACCCGACTTCACACTCGGGTTAAAAAGAAACTACATTTACAGTAGCTTTCTACACAACGTTCGGAAATCGATTAAAATTTTATACGGGTGGGTGAAAACGGTGACAATGTACACAACAATGTCAGGTTGATAATTACCTTTGGTGGTGAAATTATCACAGTTCTTATTTTCTCGCCTACATCGACTTGTTTGTTGTTTAAAGTATTAATACTGGGGAAGGAATTGCTTGAAACATTTGTGTTATGTTGTTTTTCTTGGACCCATTCGGAATAATGCCAATGAGATTGTATTATCTTAATTAAAGATGGACCGAAAGAAGCAATTGGGTCGCGTATTTGTAGTTATATATCTTCAGCTTGAGTTTCATAATAATTGACTCTTTAAACTTACCTCATCTCCAGATCCGTATTACCTAACGTTACATACCGGTATGTTGTAAATCATCTTCAACAATTATAACTACTGCTTTTGTTGTTGTTGTTGTTGTTGATGATGATGATGATGATGATGATGATGATGGTGGTGGTGGTGGTGATGATGATGGAGGTGGTGGTTGTGGTGGTGGTGGTGCTACTGCTGCTGCTATATCTCGCTGGTGAAAGTTTGTATTTCATTAAACGTATAGGATGTTTCATCAAGTGGAAAACGACAAATGTAAAGTAAATTAGTGAGATACTTAAACTATTTAAACAACAAAAGCGATATCATTATTATACAGAGGGGATTGAAATTGTTTTTCAATATGACCTATGTCTAGAAGACGCTTCTTATCTGCAACACAAACAATGTATATTAAATTTCATAGGAAAGTTAGATTTATATTACACTCTGGTATATTAAAATCATCTTGCTTTTATTGTCAATAAAAGTTACGATGAAATCGAGTTAAATTTTTGCTATAAGCATTTCATTTCGAGGCATTGCTATGAAGTTCTATGGTCTACGGACATAATTGTGTCATGTTAACATTTATATTTCATTCTACGAATAAGAAAATGTATATTGTGTAAAAAAAACTTTTATTTTTTAATTCGTTTCTTTATTCAACCATGTCATGCAATGATAGTATATCAATAAAATGATATGGAATGACTCAATGTTAACAATGGTGTCCCAACACACCTTGATTAAATAAAATAAATATATGTAGATAAAAGAAGGTGCCCTGTGCAGTTATTTCTAAAATCTTTTATGATAACATGTATAATTTATACGTGAATATTATTGCCATACATTGTTTGTATGTATATATTGTTTGTATATGTCTAAATGGCTGTACCATACATACGACGAAATAAACCTTCTGTTTTGTTCTGTTCTGCTAAACCATTGCATACAATACATTTGTAATATATAGATCACGGTTTACAAATAATTATGTTTGTTTATAGCGAGATTAAATGCCAAAATTCTACAACCATTGTGTGTATGACAACGTTACGAAATGTCTGTGCTGAATTTATTCATTGACTAACGTAAATCAATATTTATATTAATACATTGACCGCTATAGTGACCTACCTTACAACAAGACATACAGAACCATCTACCGCAAACTTACTGTTACATGACCGTGATAAAATAAACATTGTGAATCGAAATTATAAAATAAAAATATATCAAAAGAGGGTCGCAAAGAATGTTCAGGTCACCGGAAAATGACGGTCTGCAGAACTACTTTATGGCGAAACTCCAGAAAAAAATGTTGTTCGGTGAACCACACCATTGCAAACTATATAACTAAACGGGCTTAACGACGCGTTCTTTCGCGTGTATGAACTTTTTAAAAACAAAGCTGTACAAAGAACTCATAGATCAGGATCAAATTCATATTTAAAAATTTCTTCAATTTTTACGCTTCAAACTATAGGTTTTCAAGAATTGTGTTTAAAATATATCACTGAAAGATTGACAAATAGTTATTATAGTGATCTCCACATTATACGTGACAATTTGTATTGTATATCCTGAATTTATCTAAAAGTGAGCGGGTCTTATTGCAAATCAACAGTTTGTCTAAAATGTATCAGCTAAATATAATCAAAGTAAAATAAAGTTAAGGAAACAACAGGACCATTTTATTCTGATCCTCATGTTTCTATTGTGATCTAATTTCGAATTACTTGACAGTATTCTTTCGGTCACAGTAAAGTATAAAGTTAATTGGAGTTTGACATTGAATATATCACAAACAGTTCATTAACGAGTTAAAATTGATGCATGAAGTGGTGAAAAATTATTTCTATCTAAATTTCATAAGAAATTGCACAAGAAGATAAGGTAATACTACCACTCAGTAAAAATCAACATCTTTGGAGTGCAACCACTCACTGTGCCACAGCAAAAGCAGCCAATTGCAGCTTACATTAGTTTGTACTATACCTGTTTGTGTCGTTGTATACAGTTGCAATTACATGTAAGTGCTTGGGTCCGCTGCTTATGTAACTGTCAATACATGGTTCTGTTAATATATCTGTCCGTTAAGCTCAATATTTAGAACGTTGGAATGTGAATAGGGCGACCCGAGTTCGATTCCCAGACGGCGCAGGTTACTCTCGTTGTGATTGATCATGAAATCCTTTCTACGGTCTATGCTCTGACATATACAAAAGTAATCAGTTCCTTGCGAAAATGAAAGCAACTTGTACTGGTAAACTACTTGACAGCATGCCCAGGAACGATGAGGTGACTGAACTGTGCTCTGGTAAATTCAATGTGACTTACTGTCGTGATCCGGAGTGAAAATTATAAACACCGAAACCTCTGTTGATATAGGATATTACTGCTGCTTATGGTTATTGTTTGTCACTTCTTATAATTTATGGCACAAGTAATAGCTATTTTTTAATATGTCTAGGAACGCGATACTGCATGTTGTTTATAAGTGTTGATGAGAGTTTTAAGTGACCGGTATTGTTGCATATACGTTAAAAAGCAGCACTGTTGCCAGTAGCTTTGAGTGTCTTTGTGTGTACACGTAACGGGAGTTTTGCTTATGTACATGGCGTTTACTAGTAGCTAACAATAAGCAGTTGTCCTGCTTAAAGCTTTAAAGAGAGCGATGTTGTTGCCTCATGTCGAATGTTGCCAGTTGCTTCATTTAGCCGAGCCAAAAGTATCTTGTTTGAAACGTAATTTGCCTAAGTCAAAGCAACTGACGCTTACAAGACTATAAAGTGAATTGGTCTATAATGGAGGTTCTGTAAAACAATGAATAATTACTCTAATAGTAATACCTGGAAGTTGTGAAGTATGAGATATATGACGGGATATTTCATATATTTATATAGCAGATTAATACAATCTATCATTGGGTTAGATAGACGATAGGGAAATCCCAACCCGAGGGCGCTATGTTCTTTCGGGAACGAGCCTTGGTGAATTCCCGATGGAACCGATTCCCCGAGGGTTGGTATTTCCCTTTCCTCTACATAACCCAATGATTAATTATTTTTCTCACTCACCTGGACACACAAAAAACTTTATATTAAATCAATGAAACTACTTTCCATGCGCATTACAACCTTGTTTGAAAAGCGGGCTTGACTTTCTATGGTTGACAAAAAGCACTTTACCGTTCTCAAAAAAAAATCTATTTATCCAGTTAATGTGTCAAAATATAATTGAAATTAAATTCCAATGAGAAGCAAAATTATAATGATAAAACATTAATGTTAAAGGTGATTAGTGTTTATGATACTTCAATGGTTGACAAAAAGCCTTTTACCGTTTGCGGAGATTTTTCCACTTTTTTAGTTATTTTGGCAAAATATTCAATTAAAGTTAATTGAAATGAGTTTCGTCATCAAGAAGCATCGTTATCATTACAATAAAAACATGAATGTTTTCTAGGCAAAGTGTTAAAATATCAGTTTTTACACAGAATTTCGCGAAATTTTAAGGTTACACATCGATTAGGGAAATTTCGGAAGCATTGAAGCATGAAATATATTATCAATTTATTTTTATTCCGTTAATAATTAAAAAGACATGTGTCATTTTTTATATATTTGGCCCTCACGTCTCATTTTTGTCAAAACATGAGTGAGTATCGCAAATGTGTAGGAATGCGTAAATAAGTGATGCACGGGAGTGTGAGATAAGCCCATGTGAGATTAGATATTCCAGCACCGCTATTATTAGTATCTCTATCTGGTTAGTAAGAAAATAAAATGTTCTGGGACAAAATATTATTAATATTCATATAAATGTTCTTCTACATCACTTAATACTTGATCGACATTTATTTTTCAAGCAACAATCAAAAAAAAATCTGAATGATACACCTCTAAATTGTTATTATCAATATTTGAATTTATTATGGAAAATAATCCCATTGTAGACCTATCCACTTAAAAAAAACTATTTGTTGGTAGTTGCAGTTTGATAATCTGGGGCAAGTTCGCATGCATATTTATATTAGTGGCATGGCAATGTCCACCGTATCCCCCATGACGTCACCAAAGGGCGACAAGTTGAATCCTATCCTAAATTAATAATTAAAGTGTCTTCACATGTATCAAAAAGCTACTTCTCAGCAAGATAAAAAGTTTACGATATTTTGTATTGGTTTGCAGATCTAGATCAACATCGATAAAGTTAACCAGGTACGTTCTGCATTTGTTTGCGACACTGTCACATGTTCGTCGATTGATTTCTGGTAATCAATAAAAAAAAATCTTCCATTACACGATCTATTGACAACTGGAAGTGTTAACGTTGAGTAGATTTAAGTGGAGCCAAAAATTCAATACACTAAATATATCTTGTATATGAACACAAACTTGAATATAAGTTGCAGCTCAAAAAGAATGTTTGTTGCGTTCATTGAGCGCCGCCTTTCCTTGTTGATCTTGTTTATCATATTGTTTACAAACTGTCTTTTTCTAGCTTAAGTTTTGGTTAACAGCGTGCAATCTTTTCTTCCTGGTTACATTGTCACTTAAGACTATATCATATTAATTGATATGTTGTTGATCAAATATTGCTGAAGTCTGGAGTGCCGAGAAATACCGGGTATATATATGCTGGTGAAATTGTATAACTAAATCATTTAAACTACCGAAAGAAATCCTGATAAAAATGTCCGTCCGAAAGTCGCATGTGATAATAATTAAATGGACGTATCAACAATCGTAGTATTTGATGAATTATACACAGACACTTGGGGTGTGGAGCTGAAAACGCCTTTAAATTCCAAATAAAATGCATATTTGTCAATCCCAGCACATGCACTGATCATATACAATGTATATCAAAAAACTGAAAATAAGCCGTTTTGAAAAAAATTCATATTTCAACGTCTATGATTATAAATTATTATTATAAAAAATGCAAAAAAGATTGGAGCCATATGTATGTACAAGATCAAGATACTCATTTAATAACCGTTTTTATATTAATTTAAACAACATAATCAACCAATATGTAATTGGCATATCGCCAAAAACATTATTCCGTGTCACGTGCATGTCATACATGCATTAAATGTAAAAAAAAAATAGGTACAGGTATATAATTAAGTACCTTATCACCATACGTGACAGTGTTATCTCGTCTCGGAGTTGCCAAAAAACCCAAACCACAACTGTACAGCCATTTATTGATGTTTTATGAAATACACCATCAAGAAGATCAATGTTAAAATAGCTTATGTACAGTTCAAAACTATTACTAATAATGGAAAAATGTATGATAACAAACAAATTTGATGAATTTATATCCCCTGCAAAATATTGGTTATTATACAAACCACAACAAGTGAACAAGAGATCCTGGTTTCTTTTCTCTTAATAAAGTAATGTTTTGTCAAAATAAGTAATATATATACCATTGCTGCGGTTTGCGTAAATTATACCATAATGAATATGTATATGTATAACAAAGTTTTAGCAATTTTAGCAAAAAGCAATTTAAATTAACCTTGAAGATCAATGTTATTTCAATGTCAAGTTCACAAATTGATTAATATGCCGTTTATGTCATAAATGTTGTCTTGTCCGAGCATAAATAAAATCCGTCAATAACAAATTTATTGCCAATTTAGCAAAATTCAATAATTTGACAGGCAATTAATATGCGCCTCTCCTTTTTTATTGAATGTTCCTAAAAGATTTTGATTGAAATCCAATCAGTAGTTGTCGAGAAATGACCTGGAAACGAAATTGGACGGATGGAAGGACGAACGGACGGAAGGACAGGGGCAGCGCTTAAACAATATCCCCTCTCGATTCCATTTGCGTGGGATTAAACGACATTTTTAACTTAACAACAATTAAGAACCAAAAAGATTGATACCATACCTGCAATGCAATAAAACATTGAAAAAAATAAAATCAATGAACAAGGTGACAAAAAATGTACAAATATTATGAACAGAGAATATGCCCCTGTTCGTTTATTAAATTCCATCACTCCCATAGTCACATGAAGGAAAATGTAAAACTGTTTCATCATATTTTATTGCTTTTTTTTCTTTCTATACAAAAACAGATACAATGTACACATGTATACATGCAAACATAAGACAATACATTATCAAATAAATGTACAGTATTTTTATAGATGCTGCAGTTGTTCATGAAAAGCAAAAGGGTCGGACCACAGGTTTGAGTTGACCCTTTTCATGTAAAACAACATATCACATGGTAGTAAAATGAATAACGAGGAGTGATGATAATAATGTATAAATGTTTCACAATAATATGAGCGTCCATAATGTGCAAATTAATTGTATGTTTCTCGATAAAAAAATCATACCAATCCTTAATTGAAATAAATAGGAATGGCTAAACCTACTAAAATCGCAATAGAATATTTAGATTGTGAATGTTGTAGACCAGTTTGTCATAATATTCGTTAAAAAACATAGATTTTTTAATAAAAACTATCTCCAGATATGAAAAACAATAGGGTTTTTTTTATTTCATTTTTCGCTACCATTATTAAAGGTATAGCTCTGTTGAAGTCTTAATTCGTATACATTTATTTGTATACGTAAATAAATATTTTCAAATGTAATTGTTAAAAAACTAAAGAGATAAAAGGTACAGCAAAATTTGTAAATATTTGAAATATCCACAAAAGTAAGTTGACTCACCGTAGATCTAAAAATCTATGTACAGAATATGTTAACTGCAAAAATCATAGGCCTATCATTGATTGAACGTACAAGTATCTGCATGTATATAGTTTTTCACAAAAAAATGTGTCAGTATTTATCATTTGAATAAACTAAAAATATGTTGATTTTTATACATTCCTAATACTACATTTCATAACAATGATAACAAAATGATAAACTTGGAAACGTTATCAAAAAAATGAATAAACAATTTATGTATTATGATAATTCTCTTTTATGAGTTGCTATGTAATGTTTTAGAAGGAGAAAAAAAACGATTTCTGTATTATATACCTCATGTTTGTATCATGTATGATTCAATGAGCGAAAATAAACTTTAAAGGGACTCCACTGAGATTTTTTGACATGATGGGACTGGAAATATTTTTTTGAGATTATTACTTCACTTCATGTAAATCTATACTAATAACTTATGTGCAAAATTTCAGATCATTAGCTCGCTCCGTTTTTCCAGAATAATAATTATTATAGTGAAAAATGACCAAAATTGAAAAGCGTTTAAACGCTTTTCACTCAAATCGGACTGAGAATAGCACAACCATAATTATGATTTTCAATCTATTTCTAGAATATTTCTTGGTTATATTTCATTTATATTTCTGTTTTAAGTGCTCATGTTTATCTATGTGAAAAATCAAAATTTTATGTTTTAAGGCTTATAAACCTCAGTGGAGCTCCTTTAACTTTGATAAAAAAATTGTCTTTTTTTCTTTTTCATCAGTAGATCTACCTAATCTCCAATAGACGAGTACGAGTATCCACCCCTGTTAGCCTTCCTACTCGACAGTAAGAAAAGCGCGGCCGTGATGAATGACGTCACAACTGTGATGATAGCGAGGGCGAAACCAGCGCTGTTTGTCGTGTTGCTGTGTTTGTTTTTCTCACTAAACACGATAACAGCAGACAACACCAGAAATCCTTCAAAAATAAACGCACACAATAATGCAGTAATCCTTGAAAAATAACATACAAGATAATGCAGTTATCCTTGTAAAATAAACACAGCAGATAATAACGAAAGTTCTTGGGGAAAAAAAATAAACACAACAGTTAAAACCAGAAGTCTCGGCAGTAAACCACATTGAATTAACCAGAGCAGAGTCAGCCACCACATCGTTTCTGGGCAGGCTGTCAAGCAGTTTGCCAGTAATAATTGCCTTCATTTTCGCAAGGAACTGATTACTTCTGTACATGCCAGTGCAGAGGTACAGTGCGAATGACCGTAGAAAGGATTTCATGATCAATCACAACGAAAGTAACATGCGCGGTCCGATTCACATTCCAACGTTCTACCTAATGAGCTACCCGGGTAGCTATTTCAACAGAACCATGTTTTACAGTTATATTAGCAGGGGTTTCAAGTACTTACATCTAATTACAACTGTATAAAACGACACAAACAGGTATAGAACAAAATGAGCCGTGTCACGACAAAACCAACATAATGGGTTTGCGACCAGCATGGATCCAGACCAGTGTTCGCTATCAGTTTCTCGACTTGTAAAATGGTTGGTAAGCGAACAGCATGGACCCTGATCAGACTGCGCGGATGCGCAGGCTGGTCTTGATCCATGCTGGTCGCAAACCCATTATGTTGGTTTTGTCGTGACGCGGCTCAAATCATCTCTCAAGAACAGACTGATCAAACCTTTTCTGCAATGTTCTCTTTAAAAAATCTTTCTTTTCACTGCTCTTGACGAATATCCCTTTTTCCATTGTTTTTTTCAATATTATATTGATCACCAAAATCAAATATTTCTCTGAGTAACATTGTATTTGATATTGAAACTATGACTTGCTCACCGCAAATAGCTTATCATCCAATCGGTATAAAACGTTAACTTATACTTGCTAAAGCACCATGTGTTCAGTGTGTACACCAACAGAAATTTGTGTACAGATCTCATTTGGCTACATTTGCACTCAGGACTGACATTCATGCAATAATTTGCTTAAACAATTAACCTACCTCCAATCAAAGCAGTGACTATAGATGCAAAGGCGCTCTTTTTTCTTGATACATCGCCCAGAGTTCGACCTCCAAATACCATAGAAATAAACAGTGCTAGTGTAGCCAGTATCATCAAAGCCTGAACTGCGTGAATCCAACCTGCGTAAAAATTAAAAATATAAGGATGATGATAATGTCAACAATATATTTCGCTAGCAACACTAGTTTCTCTAATAATTTTATATTGATTATCTGGAGTATTACGCGTTACATGGTCCATTCTATTCGAATGTTTTTATAGAAGAATCGCTAATTTACAGATCAGATCTCGAAGAACGTGTGTTGGGTTTTAAGTCACACAAACAAGACAAATTACAGCTTTACTGGTAAAAAAGTTTAATTGAAATCTATTTCAGGCCTCAACAGACGGTAGGATTTTGAAGTACAACACCAATTAAAACTAAGATGTACAAGCAAATCTTAATGTGTTAAGGCTACTAGTTCTTGAATTCGTAAACCTTAAGTCTAGATGTAAGGGATAGGACATGTTCTATTCGTACAGATTTGTACAGGCATCCTGCAATGACAAGTAACAGATTACCAAATAATCTTCTGATAATGGGTGTAATGAATTAAATTTCAGAACAATTAGGGCTAATAGGTAAACATAGTAGAACGATGGGGTAAAAATTATGTTGAAAAACTCTTCAGGAGACCCAAAGTTGTGGTATGTTCGAATCCCAAATTGTTCCGAAAATGATTATGTCACGGTATTTTTTAGACCTGAGCATTATTTGGGACACGAGCGGGAACCCGGTGAAAAAGATAACTATATATTTACCAGATTTTTTTCAAGCAATTGAATGGTCTTACATGAATAGTTGTATTTCTGAACAAAAAAATCAAGCTGATCACCTTCTGACGGTACAACGCAATTTGTTTTGTCATTTCTCACTGTACAGTTTGTCCAAAGGCCAGCATGGATTGTTTGCCGTCCCTGCTTCAGATAGGACCAATACGGTAATACGGTACTGATCAAACATAACATCCAGGTATACACGCTTAAACCCAAACCGACGTATAACGCACTCATAATGCAAATCTGCAGTAAAATATATCAAATATATTTAAAAAGAGAGATCATACTTAACAAAAAATAAATAAGTGAAACTCGTATGCTATTTCATCGTCAGATATATAATAAATTAACATTTATCATTTTATCTCGTGTTATGTTACATGATACCGTGGGTATCCGACGATGCTGCTATTTATAAATGACAAGAACAGGGAATACCGCATGTTTTATCTAAACGTCATTTTGCATGGTGTTTTAATGACCTTTTTATTTTGTACCGTGGTAATGCTATATCATGTTGTAATACTGGGTTGGGTTCCATATTAAGTCCTAGACTGTTTAGAAACAGACAAATTTGCGTTTAAAAAAATATTCTTACTTATGACTCCTATTCTATGACTCCTTCAGTTTTTAAATAACAATGCAGATGGACTTTTTTTTTTACAAATTGCGGATTAAAGTGCGCGCCGTTGTATTTCTTTACTTTTTCTCAGCAAGTTGACTGTAATCAAAGTACAAAGTCTTTGATTAAAGATAAAAGTTGTTACTTGAACGTTTTAAAAGTCCTAAAGTTGGACATACTATGAATCACAGCCCAGGTTTTCGTGAGATAAACACGGCTGGTTCATAAATTCTAACTTAAATTTGCGTGCAGATCAAATAAAGGAACTACATTTCAAGTGAATCTTTGAACTAATAAAATCACTGCAGGTAAGGTAACAAACAATTCATGCGACACTCTTACTGTGAAAACCGTTATCAATACAAAAAATTGAACCTTCAATAAAACTGTGTGAATGATTTAAGTCCTTGTACCGAAGACATCTAAATTATTTATACAATCTCAAACCATATCTTTCACATAAAAATTAAAATGAAATGATTGGACAAAACGGTACCTGACTTTCAGTATGTGCATGTGTAGTAATTAAGTATTCAATTCAATTTGTAAATTTTATAATGGGTTAATTCACCAACAAGTAGATTAAGGACGAACACTATAAACAGATTTATATACATAAAGCTTGCGTTTACTGGGTATGCCCCGCCTTAACATTTAACATATAATTAATAATAAATTTTCAGTGAGCTGTTATTGAATGACATTAACATAACATTGTTTTTTTATTTTGTAGACTTCTGAAGTTTACATTCAGTTCTGTTAGTGTAGTATAGTTGTGTTTGATTTTCCTGTCTCAAGAGATATTCTTTCTGTACCATGATATGTATGAACATAGACAAAATGCTGGCACATTTACAACACTGGTCTCCCAAATGGTGAGGTAGATAAAAGCAAATGTGTGACTAACACCCCCATTCCCCGCCCCGCCCGCCTTCCCCTACACACACTTACTCAATAAAAAAAACTTGGTATCGTTATGATAAAACCTAAAAACGATGAAAAAATATTTTTAGATATAATCTGGGACATACGATATAATACATGCATATGACATAATTTACAATAGAAAATATATTACATACTGGAAACAGTTCATACAAACTAGCAATGTTATGCATGCTTAACCTTCTTAAAGCATAATGATTTTTGTGAAGAAAAAAACCCAATTAATACAAAAGAAAAACGAAAGGTCGACAAAACCTCTTCACGTGTTATGTATAATGCCTATCCAATAATTAAATGATATTATAATAATAACACTGGAATCGCTTCGTCTCAAGGTCACATTGAAACCGAAAACAGGTTTACACTAAAAGTTTTGTACCTTAGAAAACTAAATGTCAACTTAAATAGCTGAGATCTATCGACATTGTTTCACAATCCGCATGAAGTTAATTGTACAATTACTTTGATATCATATCACTGGTTACTTATTTGAATTTGTCTAAAAATTAACAACATAAAACATACCTGTAGATACTAGCCTGCAAATATAAAACACAAATCTTTTTCTTAACCTTCAATGAACAAGGAAGTGTAAATATAGTGTTACGTAAATATAAGGGGAAGTTATTGTATAAAATATAAAGCAGTATATAAGTGTCTACGTTCAAGATAAATCATACGAAAAAAGTAAAACGCATGCTTATGAGTATGGTTCCTTCCTTACTTCACAAATCTCGCATAATTTTACCGGATAAAAAGACGACTAAGGTAATTTTCATGTTCATTGTTACCGAAACAAAATTGCACGCTACGGACTGGTGCAATCAAATTTTCGCAGTTTAAGACCAGCCTGCATGTTTTCTCTTTTGACGCGCTGTGCGTTCTTTGAGGTTTCCTTTTTCACTATTTTATCGTTACGTTCTGTGAGGCCCTAAAATGTCGCCCCTACTGTCAAGCATAAATGTTATATTTTTCATCCTTGAAGATCATTCAACATGGCATTATTGTTGGGTTTATGAGTACAAGTGTTTCATGAGTTGTTTTGTATCGTTCAACCCCGTCCTTTGCCGTTATTATTCCACTTCCTTTTTCCTTTTATATAGCAATTTAATGCTTATATAACTACTTGAACACGCAAACATTTAGTTTTAATGATGCATCTCTATCCACGTAGATCGCGTATCCACATAAATTTTACATTTTCACACGTATAGTTCATGTTTTCATTTATATTTAATCTTCACTTTAATATAATAGTGAAGAGCCATCTTGCTTCAATTTGGTCTGCGCAACATCAAAGTGATTTTTATATTACTGAGTGGCGACATATGTACGCCGAATTTTATTATATTTTTAGTCATAATTATGTTTTCATGTGCCTTTTTTCTGTGATAATGCAAAACTACTGTGATAATATAGCATACAAATGTTAATATACCGAAATCCAGTGAGTATTATTCCCACTTGCATCTACTAAATCTATTGTGAAAACCTACCTAGAAATTCTAAGATTAATTCGCAGTTTATCTCATTGTCTATTTTTTTTTGAGAAATGAATGTCTCTCTGGTTTCATCTTGTTTCCATATATTTGGTTAACAGGACCCCATTGGAAATAAGCACACCAGCTTAATTAATGGGCTATCCATGTAACCATAGATCACTATTAGCAAAACCATTGTATTGAAATTTAATATTATTTTTTATTTATTTATTTATTTATTTATTTATTTATTTATTTATTTATTTATTTATTTATTTATGTATTTATGTATTTATTTTTTTTTCTTTAAAAATCTATGTTAAACTATTTAGTTTTTATGTATCATGTCTATCAGTAACTTTAAACAATATTCTGTGCTAATTATTATTCTGACTTGTTGTAGTCATAATCTGAACTGTGATTTTTTTTTTAAATAATTTTATCCAATGCCTCATCTGATTTCAGCCATTAACTTAATGAAACGATATTTTAATTTGTTAAACTGTTATTTTATATATATGTACATGTATATCCTTTTTATGTAAATGTGATCTATGTTGTTGCAAAAATAAAACAAATAAATAAAAGTGCTATTTACTACGCAATGGAGGAAATGAAAAGTAACAGTCAACTGTATAGGAATCTTTATCATTTACTTGTGCAGCTTTTACCATTTAGCAAAAAATTTAAGTATGTTATTTAATGATATTTAAATAAGCTCTCAAATAGTGATTTTATTCTTTTCTGTTGTCAAGAAAATAATACAGATACAGGTGTACTTTCATATTACTTATTAGTCTGTCAATAAATTAAAATAATTATATAATTTGTAAGCGAGCAGGAATAAATTCAAGTCAAGTCAAGTCAAGTAAATTTTATTTATAAGTCGGATACATCAACAATAAACATAAGCTCTGATGAGCTTTTTACACCGACTACAATAATATAAAACACGTGTTTAAGATATGATAAATGACAAAAATGGTTATGATAAAATAAGACAAATAGCATTGCATTAACAAATAGAGTATACAAACAGCACTGTACTAGCATTCATCAATAGCATACAAAAGTAAGAGGTAATACATATTAGATCTAATAAAAAAACCATTAATATACATACTAAAAGTTAAGATCACACATCACAGCTTATATAAGACACATAAACATTTAAGCAGAGGAACATCAGGCATACATACCTGAATTAGTAAATTATAATTACTAAAGTTACTTCCCTTTATTTCAAGCGCGCCATTTGTACGAGGAATTTTTTTATCATGAGGTAAAGGCCATCTAATCTTTGATTTCGATCATATCAGGTGAAAAGTAATATCACCGACATTTAATGTAGTGATGAAGGTTTCGTTGTGTCTTGATGTAAATTTAGATGATGTACTACGTGGCTTTTATCGTGCCAATTTTAACTGTATTTTACTTGTATCGACTGTTAACAAGCTCATCAGGATCTGAGTTTACTGACAATTCAATAGATGCTTTTATATCAGGTGGGTATTTACTTACACAAAGAAATAAGATTATCATCTCTTTTTAATAGCAAGTAATTTGTCATTTGCAAACATCATTCATGAATCAATAGTTGTGTTTGATTTTTATAAACCATGAATAGTTAAATGCCACTTTTTATTAGATATTTTGTTGTCACGGTTCAGAACTGTTTACTAATTTGGGGAGAAGATGTGGCATTAAAGCTTTGGACTAGACCCTTTATGAAACACATTTGAAACATATATGTGTTTAACATGTTTTTACTGGCAAATACATTTTTCACAATTAATACTTGTAGAGTCGCCGTACCAGTGCTCAACCAGTTTTTCACAAAATTACATAAAAACTCTTTCAGAATAAAAAGTTTGCTGGGAAAATTATTTTTGTTACAAAGCTGGCCCTTTCAAACTCACAATAAGCTTAAGCGTTTTAATTACACAGATCAGGATACAATTTACCACAGAGTTGTATATAGGGTATAAAACTACTATATTTTTCAGGCAACCAAACCAGTGCTCGACCAGGTGGTTTTATCTCTATCAGAACTTTTATTTTTTTAAAACAGATATGACTTTTTATGTTCAACAATTCTATTTCAAAAATATTTTGAAACATTTATGTTTGAGGGTCTATAAATGTTAATATGAGAGCAAATATGATACGAAGGAAATGCTATACATTGACAAATAGTGTTTATAAGAGTTTTGGTATTTACATATACTGGGGTGTTTGAGATTACTTATTCTCATATTTTTCTTTACTAAAATCACTCTGCAAACATAGTTAAGTGTGATAATTGGTGTAATATACAAATGGTTTACGCTTTCAGTGGTGTGTTCCTGATTTGTTTCCGTACAGCTGCCATATTTGTTTACATGTTCATAGCCCCTGCCTTTTATGGAAAGCAAGGTCTTGATAATTTTTGAGCACATTTCCTATGGGAAATCATTTGGAATCATAAGAGTAAAGGCAATTTAACAAAGTATTGTCCACATTTGCCCTAAATTATCATTATTTTAGTGTTTTAAATAGTTTTTACTGCTACTTTTATTATAGAATTGCATTTTGTACTGTTAAATATTGTCTGCAAAATGGCAAAACTTCTACCAAACTTGGAGTACTTGTACATGGTGTAGAGGTTACAAGTCAGGTACAAATAGCACACACAAACTCCCAGGGTTTTTCCACTTTAATGCATAAATCGTAAACAAATAGAAGTATTGGTCGAGCATTGGGCTGGTCGAGCACAGGTACTGTGACTCTATACTATTCAATTGAATAAAATCATTAATTTCAACATTGTTCATAGCTTGATTTAAATTTTCGAGCTACATTAATTTCAACATTGTTCATAGCTTGATTTAAATTTTCAAGATGTAGATAACATCTATCTATGTCTGAAATTTCCTCAAAAAAATTGGATTGTATTTTATTTTCCACATTTGACGTAAAAATCATTAATCATAATTATGATGAAAAAAAAATGATGCCATACCTAAATAATTCTTGTTTTATTATTATATCTATCAATTTAGATTGTTAAGATTTAATATTTTGTTTTAGATGATGCAGTAGAAAAGAAAGATGAGCCAAAGGAAAGATCCAATAAGTACAAGAAAGATTACACGGTTGAAGGTAGACAGATTCTCATATTGTATGGTACCGAATATGGATGTAGTGAAGAAATTGCTAAATTACTTTATGATAGGTATGCCATAATACAGCAGATATTTCTCCAGTTAGCTATATGAAACTTTATCAAACAAAATGTAATGTTAAACCAAAAGGACATTTTAATTGATATTTTCTTAAAGGGTATTGTATATATACTGCATGTTTTATATTTTTAGACCTAATATGAATATATAAATACGCAGATGATAATTACATCTTAAAGAATTTATACTTAAATTATGCTTTATATGTACTTAATGTTCAATTATTCATGATAAAATCAAAATAATACAGTATAAATATAAAGATATGGCATGGGTTGTCAATTTGTATAATCTTCTTTGAAACAATGTCAAGAAAATGTCATTAAAGCAAGCCACTTCTTTCAAGTAATCTTTTATTCATTGACATGCATATAGTGTAAAGCTAACATTTATGGCCCTTTTACAGTTTTACACTAAGTTTTGAAAAGGCAAGTGACGTCAGAATGTATTCATTGCTGTGTTTTACCATTGTTTTACCATTTTATGGAGTTGCAAAAGTCCCATGGGTATGTGATAAAAAGAAATATATGTAGTACTTGTAGTTATTTTACATAGAAAACAAGGGAAGTAATGTGAAAAATACATGTATTGAATATACTTTTCCAGGATAAAAGATTTGAATGCAGTTAACAGTGAATTATGTTTGCAACCCAGAGTGATAAATATCCGAGATTATCAAATGCTAGATTTCAGCAGGGAACAATTATGTTTTATTGTGATTTCCACCAGTGGGGATGGTAAGTTATAAACACAATGTTAGCCCTGTGGTTCCAATAAACTCATTACAATATCTTCATCACTTTTTTTATTCAAATCAATTATATATCTCTAAATATTGGATCAATATAAATCCAATTACCTTTTGAAATATAACAGTTGTAATATGTAACAGTAGAGAACTGTTTTCTTGGGTTTTGTATGTGAAAGGCACTGTAGAAGCATTATTTTACCCTTCCCCTGCTGAAATCATACATGTAGTGATAAGTCTTATCAAATTTTATAACTTCATGTTGATACTCCCAAAATTGATGATGGACTGTCCAAAAAATGAAATTTGGGCAAGTCCATTTAAGAAATTGAGCAGATAATTGGGTATGATTTAATGCCCTGATTGAAGTGGATGATATGTCTCATGCCCTCTTGTGTTACTTTTATTCTATAGACCACTTTGATAACATAATGTGACATGAGATAATACCACTTGTGTCAGGTCACGTTGAGTTAAATAACAAGTAGGTGTATCACTATTTCATTTGAGACGCTTTTAAACTTTTCATTCTTAATGATTCTTTAAGGTGGCTTGAAATTTGTTCAAGAACTGAATAGTTGAAAGTTTTATTGTATCAATAAAAAAAAAGTCTTCAATTTCAGTCAGTTACTGAGATGTTTTCTTTGTTTAAGGTGTGCCACCAACGGAGGCAAGACCATTTTATGAACATTTACTGTCTACAGATATACCTGTTGACCATTTGAAGTTCTCACTACTTGCCCTCGGTGACTCAAACTATCCTCAATTCTGTAAGACTGGGAGGACAGTTCATGAAAGGTAGGATAAATTTTATATGTAATTATGAGTGTCACACTTGATTATTTAGTTTATACAAAATTTATTTTACATGTACATGTAGTTTGATTGTGTAGAAAGCTTTAAAAGTATTACCATACTCTCACATCTGTTCTTGGAATCAACCAATACCAAGCAATGAGTGGAAAGTTTCTTGCGCAAGGAAATGATAACTCACCCATGGTGGGGTTTGAACCCACGCAGCTAGAGATCCTGAGCTAACTAGTCTGATTTGTTAATCACTCAGCCATGACGCCACTTCTTGATTCGTTATAGTTACATTATAATGCAGTTCTCTGTGGGAGGGGGAGGGGATAGAAAAGTTGACTAATCTTCAGTCTTTTCAGATTCTCCATACATTGTACATACACATTTTGTAAATATAGTATACTGCAGAACAGTATTTTTTTACAAAGTATAAGAAGTGTTACAATATCTGTACAATCATGTTGGAGAATTATAATGAATGATGTTTCATTTAATCACATGAGAAAACATGATAATTCCTTCCCTTACAAAATGTTTCTATTTTTAATGTGCCACTCACTGTATCAGAAATTTACAAATATTATCCTTTCAGTTTAAGTACTATATTAACTGGTGATTTTTTCATAAGGATACTTACAGATTTTGCTTAAACTTACAGGGATGAACAACCTTAAGGTGTAGATGGTAGTAAAGGAAGGAATTTTTGCTGCAACCAAATTTTACAGAATTATGGCCCTTTGTTGATTTTTTCACTATGTACTATGTAGAAATTTTGTGAATGCAACTCCTCTTAAACCAGATGGCAGATTTTGCTTAATCTTCCAGGGATAAACAACCTTAATGTGTAGATGGCAGTAAAGGAAGGAATTTTTGCTGCAACCAAATTTAACAGAATTATGGCCCTTTGTTGATTTTTTCATTATATACTATGTAGAAATTTTGTGAACGCAACTCCTCTTAAACCGGATGGCAGATTTTGCTTAAACTTCCAGGGATTAACAACCTTAATGTGTAGATGGTAGTAAAGGAAGGAATTTTTGCTGCGACCAAATTTAACAGAATTATGGCCCTTTGTTGATTTTTAGTTTTTAACTTGTGGCACATCATAGTAGTCCAAAAAATATTTGACCTAGAGTCATAAGATTGACAGAACAGTGGCGTGTGGGGGCATCCGTGTCCTATGGACACATTTCTAGTTTTTAATCTTTTAACTTGCACCCATGGACATAGCTTTAAACATAATACATGAACTTATATTCTTTATTAGTCCCCTACCAGTTTAACCTTGAAATATGGGTAGATGACAGTCTCGAAATTATGCACATCTTTTTCTTTTCTTCCTGTATTGAAAATTCTGGTGTCTATGGCAACAAATAGACTGAATTTCAAGATTTCTGATTTGAATCTTTATGCTTTTTCACTATAAGTTTTTTTATTTCTTAAGGTGTTTACTTCAAACTTTAAATATAAGTTTCTGGTCATCAACCACATCATATGTGGCAAGGTTGACAACTCTAGCACAAAAATTATCAGAATTGCCTCCCTTGAACTTAGAATCTTTATGAAAAAAATGTTGTCGTTTTTAAATAACTTGTTTATTTCTTAATGTATCAATTTCAAACTTCATATATATGTTTTATATTATCACTGAACATTTGTGAGAAGGTTAAATACTATAGCAATACTATTTCTAGAATTATGTCCCCCTTGAACTTAGATTTTTTTCAAATAATTGGTATTTTTTACTCGAACTTCTTCATTCCTTATAGGATTTACTTTAAAATCCCACATCATAATAATATGACAAGTTTATAAATCTAGATCCATATTTCCAGAATTATCTCCTTCTTAAACTTTGAATTTTTCTTATTAATTCTTTAAATTTCTTATTTAATTCTTATATCATGGATTTCTTCATCAAATTCAAAATAAACATTCATTATCAACACCTACATTATATTTTTGTTTTTAATTTTCATCTTTGTTACTTACTATACATTATAGTTAATGCTATAGTTGAAAATTGTTATTTTTTTTACTTATCTTCTTTGTGACTATAAATGGTATCTTTAAACTTAAAGTAAAACTCGCATCAATGTTCATAAATCTAGCATCTTTATTTCAAAGAGTTATCTCCTCTTTAAGAATTTTGTATTAAAATATGTTATATTTTGGTAACAGGGATGTTTAAAAAAATAACTTAAGAGTCTCCTTCAGTCTGTCTGTCTGTCTGTCTGTTTATAAACACTGTTTCCTGAGATCATTTTTAAAGATTTTTTCCAACAAATTTACTTAAAATAGAGAAAAGTTGAATCATTAGTTATACTTTATTCATCCTGAGAAAATTGGACCTTTTGATTATCTGTTGTATAAACATAATTTCCTTACAAGGCAGGGAAACTTAACACATTACTATTATATAGACAAACTTAGAACTCAAAAGATTTAAGTTCATTTATGACATTCATTCACTGGTAAAATTGAATGGCCAATGTCCCATCAGAATGTTGCTTGGGTTCTAACTGGAAGGGGACTTATGGATTGCTTGCAATACTATGATAATTGCTTGTTGTATATATTCTAGGATGTTACACCTGGGTGCTGACAGTGTAATAGATAGGCAGGATGTAGACATGGAAGATTGGTCTGTTATAAACAAGTGGATAGATTCAGTCACTGTATACATACCATCAGCTAGCCTTAACATATCACTGGACTATATACAACATAAACATATCTCTGAAGAACTGTTTTCTAGAAACACACCTTTTATGGCTATATTAAAAGTAATTTCTTAACAAAATTTTATTATATTGATTTGGATGATTAAATCATGTTTGAATCAGCTATATAGATACATAAATTTACATGTACATAGAGCATTACATTGTTATGTCAATGTCCTTTGTTGTTTGCTTGATTGTATTTTATCATTTACTTCTGATGCAGACCTTTAATACAGGACAAACATACTTTCTATAGTAAATTTTTTAACTAACTAACTAATTACAATCGTGATTTGCTCTGATATTAAAGCTGCATGCCTCTAAATGGGTAAAAAATATTTCAAGAAAATCAAACTTTGGAAAAATGTATCAAGGTTTTAAGAATAAAAAGAAGATTCAAGTAATTATTTATATACAGTTTATGTGTAATTATGTCTCCCAAAATTTTTGGGAGACATATTGTTTTTGCCTTCGCCGTCCGTCCGTCTGTCCGTCCGTTGGTTGTCCATCCGTCTGCATTAAGCTTGTCTGCCCTTCACAGGTCAAACTACTTTTGGGATTTCTACCAAACTTTACAGGAGTGATCAGTACCATCCATAGTTGTGCACATCACCGGCATGTTCCGTTTTGTGCACAAAATGGCTGCCAGAGCTAAAAATAAAAAAAATCTTGTCCGGCCTTCACTGGTGGGATTTCAACCAAACTTTACAGAAGTGATCAGTACCATCCTTAGTTGTGCCTAATACTGGCATGTTCCGCTTTGCTGTACAAAATGGCCATCAGAGCTATAAATAGAAAAATCTTTCACAGGTCAAGCTATTGGTGGGATTTCAATGAAACTTCACATGAGTGACCATACATAGTTTTGGGAGACATATGTTTTTGTGACAAAAACCCTTCTAGTTAATGACTGATTTTGCAGCAAATTGTATTTATTACCTTATTTGTTCTACGTGACTAATGCAGTAAGGGCTATGTTTGCATATTTTGAACTCTTTTTTTGTTTTACCTTTACGGAGTAGTGGCGACATATAGGGATCACTTCTCCGTCATCTGTCTGTCCGTCAGTCTGTCCTTCCGTCACAAAACTTATGGCTATCATGAGGCGACACATGTCATCACTTCAGATGGCCCTTGTGGTAATTTACTTGGATTTTGCAATGTTTTACTTTTAAATACATTTTCAAAATTTTCATAAAAATTAGCATTAATCTAGAGGCATGCTGCTTTAATCATACAATTCCTTCACAGAAATTACTTAAAGTAGTTATATATGTTGTATTTTATTCGTGAAGTGGTCTACTTGTTCATCTGTGAAGCTTTTATAATAGTTTACTAAGAAGTATGTACATCCCTTCATAAGTTTAATCATATTCTAGTCTCAAGTTTGTTCATATTCTAGTTGTAGATTTATTTTACTAACATTTTTCTTCATTTTACCTCAGACCAAACGTTTACTGACTGTCTGTGATGGTGAAAATGATAAAGAAACAATACATTGTGAGTTCGACATCACTGGAAGTGGCCTTACATGGACTTCAGGTATTTTACCAGCTTGTAATAGTATGTACTGGTGGGTGTTTATGTGGTCGGTAAAGTGAACGAATTCCAAAAATGGAAAGGATATAGATGATATTGAATGAGCATCGGTTCAATACTGAATTTATTGAACGAGTTCAATGAAATTATGTTATGTGAGCCTCTGGCAAGTGCATCTTTCATTGACACGCCTATAGTGTAACACTAACTTTATACACTATAACATTTTACACTATGTATAATGCAAATAACGTCACATCAAAATATATGTACAGGCGTGTAATACAATTTTTATAGAGTTGCAAAATAAGCACAGGTATATATGTGATAAAATTGAATGTTTGATTGTAAGCTTTAAAGGGACTCAACTGGAGTTTTTTGACATGACAGGAATGAATATATTTTATCAAGATTAATGTTCCATCGGATATAGGTGTAGGCCGAAAACTTTTGTACAAAGTTTTAAGTGATTTGCGCATGCAATTTTTTAGAATAATTATTCTGATTGTGAAAAATTGCCCAAAATTGAAAAATGTTGCAACACTTTTCACTCAAATGGGGACGATAATAGCACAAAATATCCTCTGCATATCTTTCTATATATATACACGACCAAGCTGATCTGTGTGAGGAATGGAATTCTCTTTTTCAAAATTTTGGATCACAGTGGAGTTCCTTTAAGTAATCAAAGTTAAATGTTTGATCTTTGACCCTGTCATACCTTAGACATAGAAATGGAAACCAGTGATCACCTTCTGTTGGTTTCAGCATACATTGTCAGGTTATTATCTCCCTTCTCTTATTCTCTGATACTGACATGCAAAGACTTTAGGTTAAAACCTTGATTAGATATTAATTGATAAAAAAGTTTCTATTTACCATCAAAATCCTTTAAGGGCTTGCCAGATGACTCACAATGACATACTATAATGCTTAACGCTCTCTCTTTTCTGCCACGGAAGCATACATATTTAAACATTTGGCAGGGTGTCATTGATAGAACTTTATATATTTCTCACATATGCATCAGTTGAAAATGGACTTGGAATGTAATTATATTTTTCTTATTACAGTATTGAAAGTACTAAATATATGTGTTCACCTCTGTTACACTTTTAATTCTTTTGAATTGAAACCCTGTTCATTCTTTGTAAATTGAAATTACTTCTTGTAAGCCGATGTATAAACAATTAATAAATTGGCATTAGTTGAACCAAAGTGTTCACATACCTGTTTTCTTTTTTATCAAGGTGATGCATTAGGAATATATCCACAAAATAATCCTTCAGAGGTGAATTATCTTATACAGTGTATGCATTGTACTGGTAATGAGAAAGTGACCAAGCCTTCATGGGCTTATCAGCAAAATGATGATACAACTGAATGTACGTATTAGGTTAAACAGACTTGGGTAATATATACATTTCAAGTGACGTAATGCTCATATTTGTGCCCCCACTTTAGTGGCGGGCATTTAGATTTACCCTTGTCCGTCAGTCCGTCCATCCGGACGAACAAACATTTAATTATTATGAGCTTCATTCCGTAGTTAAACAAAGAACAAAAACTCATATAATTCAAATTAAGAGCTATTTTTTTGTTTTTATGAGCTTATTTTGCTTATGGACGTTGGTCCAGGTGGTGTTTATGACCTGATTTGCCTCATAAACATCAAAAGTTGGTATGTCCGTTCTTCCGTCTGTCCGTTCTCTTTTGTGACGCATGTAACTCAAAAAGGATTTGACTGAGAGTCATGAAACTTTACAGGAATGCTGATCAGCATGTGTAGTTTTGCACCTGGGTATTTTCGTCTGGATATTTAAAGTATTTTTAGAGTTATTGCCCTTGTCTTAGTAATATTTTGCAATTTTCAACTTGTGTCGCATGTAACTCAAAAAGTATTTGACCTAGAGTCATGAAACTTTACAGGAATGTTGATCAGCATGTGTAGTTGTGCACCTGGATATTTTCGTCTGGATTTATTTAGTATTTTTAGAGTTATTGCCCTTGACTTAGAAAATTTTTGCAATTTTCAACTTGTGTCGCATGTAACTCAAAAAGGATTTGACATAGAGTCATTAAACCTTAAAAGGTTGCTCAGCATATTTAGTTTTGCACTTGGGGTTTCGCTTGTTGATTTATCCAGTATTTGTAGAGTTATTTCCCTTGACTTAGTAAAAACTGTTTCATTATGTTGTTATTTGATCCTTGAGTGCTTGTGTTAGAATCAACCAACTTTACAGGAATAATGATCAACATCACTAAATTACAAGAATAATGATTCACAACACTGTGAATTTATGCACCTGGGACTTTGCATGTGGATTTTTTTTTAGTTTTGTTAAAGATATTGCCTTTGACTTACAGTAGTATAAATTTGCAATTTTCAACTTGTTCATGCATAGCTCAAAAAGTATTTCACTTGTAGGCCTGAAAGTTTACAAGAATGTTGGTCAGCATGTGTACTTATGCACCTTGGGGTTTGCTTGTAGATTCATTCAGTATTTGTAAAGTTCTTGCCCTTTACTTAGTAAAAGATTTTTAGTTTTCAAAAAATATTTGACCTAGAGTCATAAGATTGACAGAACATTGGCGCGGTGGGGGCACCCGTGTCCTATGGACACATTTCTAGTTTTCTAGTATCACATGATCGTACAGGACCAGTATTTACCATTTACTTGAAATTTTATTTCATTTTTTTCATTTTACCATCTGGAGGTCAATGGCTTTAATAAATGATGAGTAAATGATACTTGTCGGTATGAACACATGCACCATTCATTGCACAGGAAAATTAAACAAAAACATAAAACTCGTTTGTTTAATAAAATATTTCTATATACAACAAACACATACTTAAGTCTAAAACTTGTTATAGTTATTGTTCAATTAATCTTTAATACACTGAATATCTCCATCTTTCAGTCTGTACAAAACAAATCATCATTTTAGGGAAATTTAAAAATAAATACTGACTGAATAGGAAACAGTGCAGACCATGATCAGATGACACAGTTAGCTTAACAGACTGGCTGATATTGGTCTGCACTGGTAGCATGGATATAGTCAGTTGCCACCAGAAGGCTTTTAAAGTTTTAATCAATACAGTATGGGCTCTTACAGATTCATGCTATATACATGTATGTTATGATAAAATAGTAACAAGAAAATTGTTGTCTTATGAAGAGATAAAATTATTAGAGCTATCATAAGGCACTTAAACTCCACACAGATGATTACTTGATATTATCAGTCAAAATCTTGCGGAAACTCTATTAGTAATGGGATACGATTTGGTGATGAAAATAGTAAATTCAGTCAAATTTTCCATATGATATTGTACTGTTATACAGTATGGGATCTTACAGATTCAAGCTATATACATGTATGTTATGAAACAAATAAAAGATTAAAGTCACAATACTTCAATTTCTTATAGAAATATGCTTTAAAATAGTTAAATGCAGCATTATAATATGGCATAAAATATACAAAGTATAACATATGTTAGTATAATATATATAATAATAAACATGGTGATTGGTAAAAAAAATAAAACTCTAACTGCAATCCCATTTTGATTTTCTCTCTCTTATATTTTTTTTTTCTTTTCTGGTTTTGTTTCTTTTTTTTCTTTTTTGTTGTTGTTGCATTACTTTACTACATTTTTCTTTGAATACACAATCACAATATTAATATTACCGCTTCTTTTTTTACATTTTACTTCTGTGTATCTATACATCAATAAAAAATACAATACATACAATTTGATCAATGAAGCATAAATTCACCTTTGCACTTTATGTTAAATGATGAACATTAAAAAGTAAAAAATTATTTTGTCCTGAAAAATATTTAAATGTTTTGATTCTGATGTATTTAACAAGTTAGTGGTCATATCCTTGTATGTCTTTTTACACCCTTTTATTAATTTGATAAAAATTTTTATCACTGTCATCGTACTATTTTTAAAATCTGCTTAACAAAGGACTACTTTCAAGACACCAAAACATTACAGCATAAGGTCTATTAAATTTTCTCCAGTATAATCTTTACTTTCTTTTACAGTCACACCTACTCTATGATAACAAAAACTGTCGTTCCATTCCCCAAGAGAAACCCATATCAACCCCAGTGTTTTTTCCACTGGGGGTCTTCAATTCCTACTGATCCTATTTCATCTCTCCCTGCCAGGTTTAAAATCGTAGAACTACATTTTGCGACTGTCAATACTTAGATTGAATGACTGTTTGTTGTGACATGACCAAGGATAACTGAATATTTGCCACCATTGGGGAATCCTTTTTTTAACTGTAATTTCAGATTACCATTTCAAAGTCCATGAATTTTGTTGTTTCCAGGTATCTGTAAATGTTACTGCAAGTTTTTCCCTGAGATGGGGACTGAGCCATGAACAATATCCATCTACCTTCACTTTGTTCTTTGGGGAGAGTGAGTGTGGGCGAGAATGAAATGAAACTGTATTGTTTTACTGTTATGTAAAACGGCAAGTGGAACTTTTGGAAAAGGGTTTATTTCCCAGGGGTGGGGTTTAAAAACTAAGTTGTATTGTTTGAATCTCCATATTGATGTCTATTCTTTTTAAAGAGTATTATAGAAAAATCGCTGCAAATATTTTTATTTTTGGGGTTTTAAAAAAGATACCAAAAATACAACAATTTTTCTATTGGGGATAAAATTTTTTCCCATAAATTTTCTGGGGGTAGAAAAATTTCTTTGCAAACTGCCCCTTATTCTTTTGTTCAGCCGGCTTTTTTATTCTTTCTGCTCAATTTCCAAATACTTCTCACCCCTAAGGACTTTCTTGATACCTTGATTTGGTTCAAAGATTACTCATCAATGTCACTGATTGTTGGTAGTTGTGATATTATATTTTTATTATCTGAATCAGTTGTTGAGCTCTCTTAAGTTCAGTAAACAGTTGGTCAGTTTTTTCTTGTGTTGAATTGAGATGTTTCAGAGTAGCAGCTGATGCTTGAAGTGATTTGTTGATGTCATCACATGTTGTTTCTGTTGTTTTTCAACTTTTTAGTTGTTGTCTTGTTGGATTGTTTGTAGCAGTATCTTTAAGCGTCCTTTTTTCAAGTTCATCTAATCTCTTGTTTATCTCTTTTCTTAAGTTTTCAATTTCTGCTTAAAGCATCTTGAAGAGAAAGTGTTGATGTTAGCAAACCTCTTTGTTTCAGGTCACCTGTAATCTTGGAGCATTTGTTAGTCCCAATGTGTTAATATCTTTCAGAGCTACCTTGAACTCAGTGCTGTCTACAATCTGTCCTGATATATCTGGTATGTAGTCAACATGGCAGGATGTTGGTGTATGTTCAAGGGTCACACATACATTACATATAAGAGCATTATGGTCATGACAGTAGAATTTGATCACTTCTTTCCTGTGTTTAGTACAAGGCTTTGTAAGATCACCAGTCTGTAGACTGGAAGTAGATTTTGATGATCTTTGGAGTTTTTGTTTTTGTGGCATGTGATCTTTATCTAAAAGTTGGTGATGGCGTAGTGGTTTTTTTGGTAGTCTGTGAGTTTTGAAGCAAGATGGACATAAGTGTTCCTCAAACAATCTACACAGTAAACCAAAGGGCAGGAAGCCTTATATCAGCTCTGTCACATATTTCACAATAAATGTCAAAATCTTCAGCACCACCTTGAGTTAGTGTAGATGAGAATTTCTGGGATGCCTTTTTACCAGGAACAGCCATTATTCACCTGAAATACACAAATAGCATACAGTTATTTATGACCAGCAGTGAAATTGCCAGAAGAAATTTAACATTGAGGGATATTGCCCAATATAATATGTTACCACCTGATCTAAGCTTTCATGTAAACTTCAAGTTATTTGTTGAAATCATGATTTCAGATTATTTTATCACCTAGGAAACTGCTTTCACATTAATTATAGCAAAAACTTTTATGCTTACCTTTACCCCATCTAGAAGAAGTTACATTGAAAATCAGGAAAAATGTGGGTGGGGTACAGGAAAATTATTGTCAAGGTTATTGTAGGTCAATGTTATTATGTTCATAAATAAGATATTGTTAAGTTGAATTTTATTAACTTCAAAAACATAGATGTTAAATAAGATTATAAACTCACCATTTATCCCGCTAATGCTATGATATTTTAAATACACAAAGTTTAGAAAATGTTTCTCATTTGACAAGTGAATACCAGTGTAGTCTATCCACTTTTACTGAAAACTTACAAAATCAGTTAGTAAAGATTAGGTTATTGATTCACAAGCTAAAACTTGTTCAATATTTGAACAAGTATGTTGTACAAAGGAATTTCACCTTTTGTAAATGCTATAAATTTTACATTTTATGTTATCTTGCTGTTGATAGCAAAATAAATATCTTTCTTCACAAGCCTTGCAAGGATAGCTCTTGAAATGAGATTTATCTTCGCTATAAAATCATAAATGGAGATATAACAACATGTTTTGTCTCATACAATAAAAGTGTGACGAATTTTATACAATATTTTTATTGAATTTTTCTTGATATATTTTTGTCTTTTTTATGAGTATTTCCACATCCAGTAGGAGTGCAATTTTTTTCTTCACAAAAAATTGCAAACTTCTCCACATGAAAATTTTTCAAAAGTGAGTCTATCAGTGAGTAGCATTAAACAAATTGTCATAAATCAAATTGTCAAAAAAATATAATAAATGTCATAATCCAAATTGTCACAGAACATATCATTATGAATGAAATTGCCACAGAATATAATGTCATATAAATAAAATTGTCACAGAATATAATGTCCAGATCCAAATTTTCAAAGAATATGATGTCATAATCCAAATTGTCACAGAATGTCATGTCATAATCCAAATTGTCATAGAACATATCATTCTGATTAAAATTGTCACAGAATATAAAGTCATATAAATAAAATTGTCACATAATATAATGTCCAGATCCAAATTTTCAAAGAATATAACATCATAATCCAAATTGTCACAGAATATTATGTCCAGATCCAAATTGTCACAGAATATGATCATGCTGAATATCTCAAATGGACTGTTCCATCTTTCAGTCTGGACAAAACAAATCATCATTTTAGGGAAATTTTGAAATAAATACTAACAGAATAGGAAACAGTGCAGACCATGATCATATGACGCAGTTAAAACAACTGACTGGCTGATCTTGGTCTGCACTGGTTGCTTGGATATAATCAGTTGCCACCAACAGGCTTTTAAACTTTTAATCAAAACAGTTTGTGAACTTACAGATTCATACTATATAATCATGTATGTTTTGATAAAATAGAAAGTAGTGTTTTAAACAGCAATATTGTAGTCAAACTAACAGATACATTAAATTTTATTAAAGCTATCATAAGGCACTTATATTTCACACAGATGATCACCTTATATCATTAGTCAAAATAATCACATTTCCCCTAAACTCTGTAATGGGATTAGATCTAGCGCTGAAATTGTAAATTCAGTAAACATTTTCTTATAAATTTGAACAGTTGTATATGATTTATGAATATTTATACATTTCTTTAATTTGAATATTATATTTTACAAAGGTGTGATTTCCAGAAATTTTGTTTACTTATTTTGAGGTTAGCAGCATCCAATCAGGTTATAAAAATTTCTATACATCAATGTTGACTAAAAACAGATTATGAATAAAGCGTGTCATAAAAATTGGTTTTTAATGTAATTAAAAAAAAATTAAGATGTATAATCATTTTAGTGTACATGAAAGTGGCATAAAATTTACAAAGTGTCACATGGGTTATTATAATTTATATATATAATATAGATACATTTATAAGATAAGCAGAGGGGAAAAACCTGTAATTTATACATATATCATATATATACTGTCCAAGTTTTTCTTACCATGTAGCAAGGGATTGACCAATATAAGATACATGGTTGATTATAGTAAAAAAACAAAACTCTTGCTTCAATCCCACTACTATTATTTTCTCTCTCTGATTTTTCTTTCTCTTATTTTGCAAATTTGCAACATTTTTCTTGTAAACAAATTCACTATATTTATATAACATCTTTATTTTTGTAAAATGTTACTGCTGTGTATCAAGTCATCAATTAAGAATAAAATTATCTTTTATAATACTAATACATAAAATTCCAAAAATTGATTAGTGCAGCATATTTTTTAGTTTGACAGAACAGTGGCGCGGTGGGGGCACCCGTGTCCTATGGACACATTTCTAGTTTTCATTGTCAAAACAAGGTGATTTGATTGTATATTTCAAATATTGACTGTTATTGACCAACAGTTAATATTGAAAAGTGTTTAGGTTAAAATATAAATCTGTCTAAAATATATAAAGACTCTTTTTATACATAGAATGTTACAGGTAAATTCCAATGGAAATTTAAATAAATTTCCTTGGACCTTGTGAGTTATTTATAGTTCATACAAAGTTACGGCAATATTATTTTGAATTTCACCCGTTAATTCACCATATACCCTTGGCATAATGTCTCTTTCAGTTTAAAAATTTGTCACAATTAGTTGAAGCGAAATTTCTTTATGAATGTATGAAGTACATATGATTGAAATTTGAGCTGAGGATATTACTATGCGATCTGACAGAAGCATTGTTGCTAAAAGATGTGACAGAGATAAATGTCAATATTGTGACTCACAATTTTTAGCATGTATTATATATGTGGGAGAGCTTTCATACTTTGGCATGTGGATATCTGTGTCTCACTTTTGGTTAAGTTTTTCATTCCACCTCACTTATTTCCTATACCTTTAGAGGTATTGCTATAAAACTGTTAATATTTTAATGACGATCATTCCTTCTTCCAGGCAGTAACTTATAATAGATGAGCAAATAGACAGCTCTAAGACTTGTTCATTTACTTATTTGCTTAGAGTAGCCACAACTATCAAAAGATCATTACATTTGATACTGTACCTTTATTTTTTACAACATTTTTATGTGAATAGTAACTTTACAATTAAAATAATTAAAATGAAACCCTATTCAGTATTATAACTTTTGCAGATTTCATATTAATCTGTTTTCAGGTGAGTCTACATTGACATCTATTCTTACAAAGTATTATGATCTTAAATCTGTGAAACTTGAATTACTGAAAGCTTTAAAATTCAACGTCACTGAATCAGAAGAAAGGACAAAGATAGATAATTTGATTAACAAAGATGTAAGTATTTTTCTCAGATATATGATCGAGTTTTGATGTTTCTGTCTCCCTCAATGACTTATCATTAAACATAGGAGACTGTTAGCAATAAGCACCATGCCAAGTTTGGTAGACTAAATGACTCTTCACTGTAAGATAACACAGAAACAGTAATATGATGGTCCAACCAGTTACAATGATAACATGGACAAGTTAGTCCTAAAGTCATCCATTAAATGCTAACCTCTAAGCAAGTAAAAAGAACAATTAAACTCACAAAACCAGACATTGTTGGGACTGAAATAGTAAAGTACTACATTTGTATTACAGTGATATTTGATATGACATGCCAGTGATTAAACCTATGTCAGTTATTAAACCTGCAACCTCCTCATACATTTTCACATGTCAAGCAATCAAATTAGTTATTTTCTATAATTCATTGTTTATAATGACTCACATTTTTTAGGGATTGATTTGTTTTCTGTGTTACAGACATCTCAGGCCAGTGAGCATGTACAGAACTATTTGAAAGAAAGAGAAGTAGCTGATGTTCTAGCTGATTTCAAATCACACTCACTACCAGTGACTGACCTGTTAAAGTGCATGAAATCCCTACAACCACGATACTACTCTATTTCTTCATCACCTAAAAAGGTAAAGTTTTATGATAATCAGTTATTAAAAGTTTGATAGAATGGAATCTTTGTTTAATTGGGTTTTACGTCACACAGACACATTATAGGTCATATGGCAACGTTCAAGCTTTACTGGTGGAGGAAGACCTCAGGTGCCATTCCGTGTGTTATTTCAGGCATGAACGGGAACCAGAATGGAATCTATCCCATTTGATAATAAAATAAAATGTTACAATTTAAAATGTATGGACGGTGTCATGAAATGCTTATAGTCAAAATGAAAGTCTTTCTTTTCATTTATTTGTACTCTTACCAAATAATGTTAATTAATAATGCTATGTATTGTTATTGGCCATTTGACTGTGAAATATGTATACTGTGAACACATGAGCACAATTAAACTTAAATTGAATGTGATTGTTTGTATTGAAAAGGTGCTAGATTGCCAAGCCGAGCACATTTTCTTTAAATATCTATTATATCTAATATTAAATCTAAACAGTTTTCAAAATTGGTTTGATCCTTCGAGTGACATGTATAATTTTCATCTTCCTTGTAAAGCTCAATGCAACCAAAATTTCTGTTTGCTTAAAATATTTTTTATCATGTGAGTGTATATTTCAGTCTGACTTATATATCTTGGCTTTTTTATACCACAGAATTGTAACAAAGTTTGTGTTACTGCTGCTGTAGTGAGGTACAAGACTTTAGGAAGACCAAGGACGGGTGTTACTACTACGTTCCTTAATGACAGATGTGAAATTGATGATTGTTGTCCGATTTTTATGAGTCGCAATCCAGATTTTAGACTGCCTGCTGACAGTCAGATTCCGATCATTCTGATTGGACCTGGAACAGGCATTGCACCTTTTATTGCTTTTATCCAAGAAAGAGGCAAGTATATATTATTTTTATTACTCTATTTATATATTATATACTGCAAACTAAATGATCCCAGTTTTTCTCTTGAGTTAAATATATATCAAGTAAGTTAAATTGTATCATGTTTATAAAGATAATAAATACATTTGTGTATGTGCATGATACTGAAATATACTATATGTAGTAGTTAAATGATTTTTTGAAATCTGCAGGAAATATTTTTTTGAAATGGGTAGTAAAATTCTTCCAACAAATATGAATATATGGTCGGGATAAGTTTTGATTTCTTTTAAATATTTGGGATTAGTGAGCATTTCCACATGGAAAATGCTTTAAAACTTCTGAAGTTGTGATTTCGCAAATATTTTGACATGCAAAAATATACACTTATACAGGAAGTTTTCTAAGAAAATTTGGTCAGATGTGTTGTATAATATAGCTAGAGATCAATTCAACGAATTAGATTGTATATTCTTACATGACTGATATTTTTATCTTGATGTTTAATATAGAAATGGAGGCATCAAGTGCAGCAACATGGTTGTATTTTGGATGTAGACATAAAGACAAAGATTATCTGTATAAATCACAGCTTGGTAAGTTTTTACATCTTTACATTGTGCTTGTTTCACTCATGCAATACAATTTGTTGTTTTATTTAATTTTTGTCAAGTCCTGCTTGTGGTGAAACTTTAAATTTTTGTGTTTAAATGTTGAATTCTGCTTAAGCCAGTGCTAGGGGGCGTGGACGGTAACCTGCACTTTCCATTACCGTCCATGAACAGGCTCAATCAAACGGAGCTAACATTTAACAATATTTGCCGTGTTGGGCTTTCTTTAAGGATTCTGTTTTTCACTATTTAAATCATATCGTATTTCAACCTTGCCGAAGGAAACTCTTTTGAATGTTGTTTAAAGTTTAAAAGAAATTTTCAAAATAATTTTCTTATTTGTTTTCATTTGTACTTTATTTAAAACAATGTTTTTATTGTGTGTTTTTACAGAGAAATGGAATTTGGATGGCACTATTCGTTTATCTGTTGCATTCTCAAGAGATCAAGATCAGAAAATTTATGTTCAAGATCTTCTTCAAAGAGATGCAGAGGAAATATGGCGTCTAATTAACAAGGTTTACATTATAGTCAAAATATTTCTACATTTATTTAAACCCTATAATAAGATGTTGAAGGTAATGTGTTCACCCTGTACGGAGCTTCTAGTCTTGATACATGCGTCTCATAATATCATGACCAATCATGGTATTCAGTAATCCCAAAATTTTTTGATAATAAATTTTTTTAAATTGTAAAAAAAGGGGGACAAAACGCACAAAAATTAAAATTTGGGGGGTTTGTGAAACATAAATTTAGGGATCAAAACTTTTCGGTACCAGTGTATAGCAAAATTTTATTTAAAACACCCCCATTTTGGGTGCTAAAAGTCACTTAAATACTAACAAACTCTCCCCAATTTAAAACCAGGATAGCAATCTTAACAGTGAACTAAGGGATTAACAAATATCGTCACATCATCTCATTTTATGCTATATGTGTCCATGAATAAGAATGGACATAAGTGACCAATAATGTTTTAGGAAAGGATATTGGTCATTAATGTGCACACATGTAGCAGTTGACCTTAATTGTCTGTTTGTCCAAATAAAGAAAACATAAAGAGAAACACGTTTAAACCTTACAATTTCTGATTTCAGGAAAATGCAAGTATATTTGTATGTGGAGATGCTAAGCACATGGCACACGATGTTCATCTGACACTAACGAATATTGTAACAGAAAAGGGGAGTCTTGACAAATCAAAGGCAGCTATTTATTTGAAAGAAATGGAAGAAAACAGTCGGTATGAGAAGGACGTTTGGGTAGTTTAATATAATATGTATATGAAGATATTTTTATATGAGATTTTATTGCATGTTTTAGATGTTATAGAAAAGGGGGGAAAAGCGCTTTAATAATGAAAATTAATGAGCAATGTTTAAGTCAAATTTTTACTTTTAGAATATCTCTTTGAAAATCAACTGATTCTATAATAATGCAAAGAATAAAGAAAATTATCATAAACGTTTTGCAATACTTGCTAATGTTAACATTAAAGACAAAAGGCAGATTTCTGTCAAAGACTAATGCCATTTTAAATTTTGCTGCGTTGAGCGGTTTATTAAGGTCTCCGTTATCGTTTAATCTATTTTATGAAAAAATACTCTTAATTTTAAGATGCTATTTCTGTAAAGTTTTGTTCTATTTTTTTCTAGAATGTTAAGTATCACTATTATTTGCTGTGGCTATGGTAAGGCAAATTACTCCTCTGTAAACTTGAAAGTAATATGTTTGCCCTTTTAATTTCCTCCAATACATTTGTTTTTTATTTTTCGAAAAAAGAATTTAATCATAGGTTAAATATTTTTCACATACCATGGCAGGAATTTTTATGATCCATTTCATGCGCACTTCACATGTCAATATTGTTAAAGTACCAACCGACATGCGAAAACTTATTTACTTATAATATTATACTCTTAGTCATCTTAAATCATCTTAAAAAAAAGTTATCAAAATAAAGTAGCACCTTAAAAATATAACATGGAGTAGCACCTTAAAATATAAACATGGAGTATAAAATAAAATGTGAAGTAGTACCCTTAGATTAATATTTAAACATTTTCCTATTATCCCACTTTGTCGCCGGTATCGTTGATTCTTCACTAGAAGAGCTTTAGCTCGTTATAGGTGCTGGTCAGCGTGGCTCTTTCCTTGGCGCTTCAACATGTTCCACTCTCCTCTCCATCCTTTGGATCAGGACCATCCTTTTTGTCTTCTTCAATAACTCTCTTCTCCTGAGGAAACAATACACCTAAGATGTCTGACTCACCATCATTGACCGTAACCTTAAGATTTAGGGGCTCTCACTGATCACCCGATTCCCCTGCCCCTGCAACTCAGGATCTTTGGTACGGGACCTTCCTCTTTGTATTCCTCAATAACTCTCTTCTCCTTTGGTAACAATACACCTAAGATGTCTTTCTCACCAACATTAACTGTAACCTTAAGATTAAGGGGATCTTGTTGATCTGATCACCTGTTTCCTGCCCCTGCAACTCAAACATACTCAAAGTGTCATGGATGGCTGACATTTCAGTAACTAAATCTGGCGTAGAGCTGGAGGTTCTTAAACAGCTCCGCACTGCAACTGAAAGTGGAGAAAGGGGCGCATAACTCGTACCTCTCTTCTCACCGCACTTCTTCCTCTTGAAATGCTCTAGAGACCTTTCCTTAGACAGAATTACATAATCTGCCGCTCCAAGTACATAATGCGACTGGTTGAACACCAGATACCTCACATCCTTTCCATCAACATTCTGCTCACATGTCTCTGGTAAGATGTTACATGGTTTTCCGGGGTCTTTCGGTCCCAGCACCGGAAAACACTGCCTACAGTTATGGGCACACTCGCCCAGCCTCAAGTGATACTTGGTGATATAAGCCTCAATTCTCCTCTTCACATCGATCACAGCCTTCCCCTCCTTATGCATACAACGCAAACACTGGCAAGCCCTCCCATAGAGCCTCATTTTCCTACCCTGCTGTATTTCCTGTGCTGTTCTAAATTCCATTGTTTGCCTGCAGAATACAATAAAAGAATTGCATTTGCAAATATAACGGCTGTAGTTGTCTTCCCTTCATCATCTGTTATGTCTTCTGTTATCGGAAGATAGGGTGATCTTACTGGTTTTGTTTCAAATGTGTTGTAAATTTCTATAATTTCTGTGTTGTTATTGTTTGTCAATTTCTTTGCATCATTCTTTGTCATTTGATGTACATTTTCTAAATGTTTTATGAGGTAGTGTCTTCTTTTAAGTTAAACTCTGCACCCAGTTATAACGCATGTGTATATTTTATTTTCGCAATAAATATCCAAAATCTAATGAAGTAAATATGGAATGAATAGCGATTTTTATAATGTTTGTATACCGTTGCACGTGATTTTCGTGGATTTGCATTGGCAATTATTTAACCCCTAAGCAATTTATGGTACCATTGCACAGAATTTTTGCATGGATGGTCAGCAGTCAATTATCAAATTTTACAAACATTGTCACCATGGCATGATTTTTTTCATGGCAATTAAAACAACAGTTCCGCAATACCGGGGTATATGATACATTTTAAACCCTTCTATTACTGCATGGTCTGTTTGCTCCAAATCTTCTCGTTTCTCTATCATCTTCTCTTTCCATTCCTGACCTGTTTTCTTCTCCTCGACTCTTTCCTTCTGTGTTTCTCTATCGTTTCCACTTACTCTTTCGAAATCTCTTTTCTTCTTATCCTTATTCTCCATCTCTCTTCTCCTTCGTTCCTCTTCGTCCTTTTGTGTCGACCTTGCCGCCTCCTCCATTAATTCCTGTACCGCCTTTCCACTCCTTGCAATCACCTCTTCTGCCTTTGTAAGCTCCTCCATCGTTTTCCCCATACACCTTTTCGCCCTAGTATTCTGTTGTACCGCTTCCCCAATTTTAGTAACCATTTTCATTCCAATTTCCTTCCACTATGCCGCCGGTATCGTTGATTCTTCACTAGAAGAGCTTGAGCTCATTCTAGGTGCTGGCCAGCATGGCTCTTTCCTCTGTGCTTCGACATGTTCCACTTTCCTTTCTGTCCTTTGGATCTTTGGTACGGGACCTTCTTTTTCGGCTTCTTCAATAACTCTATTCTTCCGTGGTAACAATACACCTAAGTAGTCTTCCTCGCCATCATTGACTGTAACTTTAAGATTTCGGGGTTCTTGCTGATCACCTGATTCCTATCCCTGCAACTCAGACATACTCAAAGTGTCAAGGATAGCTGACATTTCAGGTCCTAAATCCGGCATAGAGCTGGAGGTTCCTAAACAGCTCCACACAGCAACTGATTGTGGAGATTGGGGCTCATAACTTGTTCCTCTTTTCTCACCGCCCTCCTTCCTCGTGAAATGCTCTAGAGACTTCTCCTAAGAGAGAATTACATAATCTGCAGCTCCAAGGACATAATACGACTGGTTGAACACTAGATACCTCACATCCTTTCCATCAACATTCTGCTCACTCGTAACCCTTACACGTCTGTGGTAAGACGTTACATAGTTTTCCAGGGTCTTTCAATCCCAGCACCGAAAAACACAGCCTACAGTAATGGGCACACTCGTCCAGCCTCAAGTGATACTTGGTGATATGAGCCTCAATTCTCCTCTTAACATCGATCACGGCCTTCCCTTCCTTATGCAAACAACGCAAACACTGGTTAGCCTCCTATAGTGCCTTGACTTCCTATCCTGCTCTTTTTCCTGTGCTGTTCTAAGATCCATTGTTTGCCTGCAAAATGCTATAAAAAATTGCATTAGCGAATATATCGGCTGTAGTTGTCTTCTCTTCATCATCTGATATGTCTTCTGTTATCGGAAGATAGGGTGATCTAACTGGTTTTGTTTCAAATGTGTTGTAAATTTCTATAATTTCTGTGTTGTTATTGTAGACAGCTTCTTTGCATCATTCTTTGTCATTTGATGTACATTTTCTAAATGTTTTATGAGGTAGTGTCTTCTTTTAAGTTGAACTCTGCACCCAGTTATAACGCATGTGTATATTTTATTTTCTGAAGAATGTATTTCTTTAACATGTCATTGCAAGGATTTATAATTGCTGTAAAAGTGTTGAGTCAACAGAATTTAAATTTACAATAGTACATCTTGAATAGATTATTTCGCAATAAATATCCAAAATCTAATGAAGTAATGTGGAATGAAAAGCGATTTTTATAATGTTTGTATACCGTTGCACGTGATTTTCGTGGATTTGCATTAGCAATTATTAAATCCCTAAGCAATTTATGGTACCATTCCACAGAATTTTCGCATGGATGGTCAGCAGTCAATTATCAATTTTTTACAAACATTGTCATCATGACATGGTTTTTTTCATGGCAATTAAAACAACAATTCAGCAATATATGATACATTTTAAAACCTTCTGTTACTGCATAGTCTGTTGCTCCAAATCTTCTCCTCTCCCTTTCTGGATCATCTTCTTTTTCCATTCCTGACCTGTTTCTTTTTCAAAAATAGAAAAATTTTGTTAACTTTTGGCTACTTTTTACTCAAAATATCCTGGAAATTTGTCTGCAAGTTTGTTTTGATGATTTCTAGGTCAAGTTTGAATATAGGTCACCTGGGGGTAAACTAGAACTCCGCGAGTTGGATGGGTCGCCTTGTGAACCGTAAATCTATCAGTTAGGCATTTTTTTCTTTAATATAGGTTTTTTTTAAAAAAATGCTATTGTAATGTACATGTACCTTTAACTATAGTTACATTTGAACTGTGTATTATCAGAAATAAAAATACCATGGAAAGGTTTTCACTGATAGATCAAATGAAGGACTCTGTGATGGACAATTTCTCAATCATTATGGATTACAGTTTACTGTCTTGATCAATTGGATCATTGTATGTGATTTTTTAGCTGTTCTGATTTGTTCAAAGACTGAGTACATCTGATTGAGTACTTATATCTCTCCTTTTATAAGTTAACATTTTTACTTTAATTAAAGTAACCAAGCAAATGTCAGAATTTACTTGGCAGAGATTTTATATACACAGAGGACTGTTATCACTGTTATCATTTTTCTAGTCATTAATATATCCTCTGGTTTGTCTAAGTACCATGTTTGCATTATGGATGTTGTGAGAGGTGATAGGCTGCTCTGTTTGAATAATGCTGTTCCTTGTTGAGCTGTTCTTTCTGTTTTATCTCTTGAAATCACTTACTTTGGTTTGATCTAACAGACCTTTATTATCTCACAATAGCAGGATTAAGACGTTGGTTTGATTGCTGTTGAGGGACTGACTTTGAACCAGTTTTTTGTCTAAACTGCTATCCAGACAGGTTTGTGATGACTGTAGTAAGACT